TTTCGAAAAAGATTTTGCTTAAGAAAACATAGCCAAAACTATTTTCTTTCAATTACTGAAGACTGCAAATCTCTATCTTTTATCGTCTTTGAGTTATTCAAAAAACGCTAATTCGCGTGTCTCGTGTAGAAAGAGTTAGCGTTTTTCTCAAAATCGATTTTTGAGCTAGTGATCAAACATCGCGCAAATTTTTTTCAAATATAGTTCATTACAGAGAGCTGCGGTTTTTTTTATTTACTGGGGCACTCGATACTCCTTCGGATGAGGGGAAGGAATTTTTTAATTAGGCTCTGGTTCTGTAGAAAACCGCGTCTGTCTGGAACACTCTGATGATATTTTAAGGTTTTAGAGGTTTCAACGTTCCCCATAATTAAAGAAAGGAAGAATAAAAAAATCCCTTCCCCTCATCCGAAGGGATAAGTAGTTCTCCTTCGAATAAAACAATCCCGGGTTCTGTACCTTGAAGTATAGTGAAAAAGAATTTGCGCAGGCAGAGGGCCCATTTTGGGCCTTGGTTTCTAGAAAACTCTTGAACGCTGAGGTCTGGCGGCGAAAAAAAATTTCACAACTTTACTTTGATGTGCCCAACATTTGTGGAAAATTGCGTGGCAATCCCATGCACTGTATCGGAAATTGATTTTGGAGGGGGGGGTGAGGCCTTAACTGACGTTTTCTTATTTTGAAAATGCTCGCGTTAATACTGAATATACTTGGTACTTTTATGATCAACGGTATGGTTCTTGTTGTATACGTTTGAGAGGATATCTGTAATGGGACAACACAGCTCATTCTAACAACTTCTCCATCCACCCGGCTACGCCACTAATAATAATGCAATAAAATATGATCAACTATTATCTTTCTGACGAGAAAATTGCAATCTTCTGTGTCTGATGTCTGAGCTCCTTCTTTTTGCCATATGATCCATGCACACAGTTCAACTGTCAAATCTTATATCCGGATATAATATATCAATCCTACATAATTTTTCTGATCACTCAGAAACGAGCATAACCAGTCATAAACAGTTGAAATATATATTCTCAAAAAGTACTTTTAAAAATTTATTTGAATTGTATTTTGACTAGAAACAGAGAAGAACAATACAAAAATTTATATATACAGTAATTTTCGAGAAATAAATAATTTATTTTCTCGGAAGAAAAAAAGTAGGAGTATCAATACAAAGATGTAAACAAGACGGACTGAAACATAGAGATAGAAATAATGGATGGAAACGGCGTCAACTATGTGTATGCGTGCGTAAACAGCAATTTTATTAAGCAATATCAATATTAGACAATAAGTACATAAGAAGATATACACATCTTAGAATACCAGTGGGAGAATACCGATTCACCATAACGTAATCAGCAATCGATCTCCATTTAAAAAGTTTCGTTAAAGACTTAAGATACCAAAAATATCTATGTACACAAGCATCTGTACAAGGAACATCCATAACGTGACAGCGTAGAACATTTTTGTTTTGCGGTTAATACTGAGCAATACACAAAATAGGTTGCTCTGATGAAAACAAAAAAAGCCCTAATGAAACACCTAAGAACAATAATATCAAAAATACAAAAGAAATACCAGATGCTTTTGATAGAAAAAAAAGATGTTGAAAATACAAAGTACATGCCATAAAAAACCATAGAAAAAAAAGCGAATAAAAATTGAGATTTTTCTCTCCCATTCACGAAAAGTTTAATCTTATTGTCCATAAGATCCATAATGATTCATTCCGTGACCACCCATCATGCCTTGTGGGGGTGGTTGCTGTGATTGTTGAGCCATGGAATATCCATAACCAGTTGGAGCATGCATCATCATTCGATTTCCCCCACTCATCTGATTCATTTGCGCTTGAGCATATGGATGATAAGATGGATTCATATATTGTCCACTACCTTGCATTTGTGGATGTTGTTGAGAGTAAGGATTATGTCCTACGGCACCATACATTGAATTCATTTGAGCCATTTGAGATAAATGTTGCTGCTGTTGTTGTTGTTGTTGTTGTTGCATTTGATGACTAGCAGGTGGTATTGGATTGCCGACAATATTCTGAGTCGTTGTATTTGAAAGAGGCTGATTCTGATTTAATGATGAAGAATTTGTCATTTGATTATTAATTTTTGGACTTGGGCTTTGTGACGCAGGTTGTGAACCAGATACTTGCTGTGGTTGTTGTTGTAACATTTGATTTTGTGTATTCAAAGGAGAATTTGGTTTCGTAAGGTTATTTATTGATGAATCTAAACATAACATAAGAGAAATAACACAAATTTCGTAAAAATAATTAAAAAGCTTTGATATTTTAAACTCGACTTGTTTGAACTAAATAAATTTTGTTTTATAACTGCTTTTTCGTTACAGTAAAGCTCAAGCCTTGGAAACTTGAACTGGCCGTTACTATGCGCGCCACTGAAGCTCGAATCACTGAATTATTTCGTTGGCATCTGACGTATATATTCTCACCTGTGTTTAAGAGAAAAGTAACAGAAACTTTCTGTCAGAAAGACAGTCTTGAGGACTGCGCGTATAGTAAGGGTCAATTCAAGTTTCCAAGGCTTGAGCTTTTCTGTAACGAAAAAGCGGTTGTAAAACAAAATTGAATTGTAATATACTTTGATATAATCCTTGATTTGGATAATTCTGCTGTTGAGGCATTTGAATTCCATTTTGAGGAAGACCATAATTCATTCCATTCATCATATTTGTTTGTTGATTTCCACCCGCGTAATGTTGTTGCGGCGTTTGTTGTGCAACGTACGGCGAGTTTGGTGGAATAAATTGTTGTACTGCTGGACTCATTGACTGATGTTGAATTAGATTATGATGATCGTTCCCATTTATCATCGAATTCTGCCGTGGAGGCTGTATTTGCTGCTGAGATGTCGGAGGTGTTGTGTTGACCGTTGGTTGCTGGGGTGTAGGATATTGTTGACGCATTGGATAAGCTACATTTGCTTGCTGCTGTTGTTGTTGTTGTTGTTGTTGAGGCATTGCCGATAGATGATGAGAAGCTGGTATTGGTGGCTGATTTGGTGCTATGGGTGACGATGATGGACCGTTTTGAGCAGGAGATTGTTGAACAGTATTAATTGACTGAGGATATGGTGTCGGTTGTTGCTGTTGTGAAGGAGATGAGTTTTGAGACTGAGAGAGATTAGGAGGTAATGGAAGTGGACTTTTGCTATTCGTGATAAGGTTATTGGAACCGGGACTGTTTGTAGCTGTTCGATACACTAAAAGAGATTCTAATAATACAGCTGTACCTTAAGCCAAAAAGGCATACTTTGGTCAGAATTTGTCGATACTGGAATAGCCGTTTGAGATGGTTGCTGCTGATTTGGATGCATCATGACACTAGGAGCACCCTAGAAGAAAGAAAATTAGGGATAATAACGAAAACTCTATCTTGAAACGAAAAATCGTCTTTCCAGAATTAAATCACAAAAATATCACTTTATTTACCTGCATTGACATCGGCCCATTCGTCGACGGTGTAGCCATAAACGTTTCTGGTGGCTAAAAAGACCGATACGCCGTTGATTTATTTACAAAAGAAGCGCAGAATACATCGATTAATCTGCTTTAGACTGGATCTGTACAAAGAATTAGTCTAAACCCGTATCTTTTGAACTACCGCATTTTGAGAGCATAACTCAGAAAGAGAAAAATAAAAACTCATGACATACCGGCAACGAGGATGGGTGAATTTGTTCATTCGCGGGAGCAAATTGTGTTAAATAAGTTAAATTTCGATGCAATATTCGTTGATGACTGATAAAATAAAATAAAAACCAGAAACGATTCGCCAACCTTTGTAGATTTATCTCAGCTACACTCACTCGATACATTCCATGGTTCGACCTTTACTTTGATAGTCCGTAATCACTGCTATCAATTGCGAATTTTCTTCCAACAACTACAACAAAGCAAAAAACTCACAAAGTATAAGTATTAGTCAAAGATTCTGTGCCATTACTTTTTGAATTGCTTCTGGATTTAGATTCGTTCGAGCATTTTTCTGATTATTTAAAGGAGAGACAACTGGCGGATACATCGTGGACATAGTTTACGCCGAAGAGATTCAATTACCCGAAGAAAAAAGTATAATTTATTCTCAAAATGTTATAGATACACTAATTTAAAAAAAATTAACAGTCAACATGCACTAACAAACAAAGTTACGCAAACATTTGAAAAAGTAAACGGTAAATTTCATACAGTCGAAACACCAAAATCACAACCCTATGGTATACAAGCACTATTCTTCGGCAATTTCTTTTATTTACGCAGATTTTCAGATGTACACAAGCTCTTCATTTCTCCACAGTATACCAAACTGCCTCTCGACTAATTGTATTTGATTTGTAATACCCATTCACATGCTTGTATAGAAATATTTGAAACACGCCATACTAAAGAATATAGCATATACATCTTGACAAATATATTTCAGTTGATATTCACATCATGACAGAACATTTGTTCTACAAATAATGCGAACTCAGATGAAAGATGGCGCTAGTCGTAAGTTATACTTTTACTTTTTTAGGTTTATGAAGCAAAAAAATATTGTTTGTAGTTTTAATAAGAAGCAAAAGATCACCGAGTAAGAAACTTCACTATAGTCTTATAATAATGTGAGATCTGAACCGAGACTTCTATTTTTGTTCTAGCTGATGTAATCCTGCAGAATACACCTGATGGGCTTGTCCAGAGTGGGCAAGTACACACTCTTTCGAGTATGAGTACGAGTATAAAACAGTTTCACTCGAGTATGTAAGATGCATATAAAGCAGACTTTTAGTGCAATTTTGTTCTGTTCTTTCTACACACCATTCGATAGAGAATCTAACGGTGTTCAGGACTATTGAAACCCGGCTTCGACAAACCCTTTCCTCGCTGAGATATCCTCAAAATACTGAGGACATGTTCAAAACCCAATCAGCCAGAGCTCCTCTACAAAACTACAATCTCCTTTCCCTGAAAACCCTTTTCTTCGCTGAGAAAAGTCTACTTTACTGGGAAAAATCGAAATTCTTACCTTAATTCGAAATTTTCTCCATCAGAACCCTATTTTATCTTATTTGATCACTTTACTTTTTTTTTAATTTTCGTGTCGAGGAGACTGAGATTTTCACAAAACAAGAAAATCAACGAAAAAATTTGAAATATACATCATTCGACTCGACCCTAATTTAAAATATGATATTTTCATTGAGTGAAAGTTGAGTTCTGATGGAGAAAATTTCGACTTAGAGTAAGAATTTCGATTTTTCCCAGTAAAGTACACTTTTCTCAGCGAAGAAAAGGATTCAGGGAAAGGAGATCGTAGTTTTGTGGAGGAGCTCTCAAGGCATCTAGCCGTGTAAAAATATTTGTACTAACGAGGGAACTGCCCCAAGTGTCCGCTCGCTTTTTTGTTGAAATCTAGTGGAGAATAGGTTATCGACTATGCTGATTCCGAATATGACAATGGTTTTTGCTGCTAGGCCTTCGAAGACCTGGT